TCCAGTATTTGGTGAGCGGTTTCTTAAATTCCTCTGTCATTTCGGCTGTGTTAAGATTTTTAAGCACAACAAATGCCCAAATCGCAATACCAACTTGAATCACCAGGATTACTAAGAGAAATACTGCATACTAAATGTAACAGAATTGAAATAAAATCATTAATTATCTGCTGTATTCTTGTTCAGATGCCTGTAAGTGCAAACGATCAACATCATAATTTAAAAGTTGGACTTATTAACTATCTATTAATTACAAAATATGAATATCCTTTTTATCCCCACTCTAGTCGAGGGAAAATTCCTACGGCACTAGTCATGGACCTTATCTTCCCTAGTGCTTTTCACTTTTTCAAGTTCGAGGAAAAAGCGGTGCCAATCCCCGAACGAGGAAAAATGAAAAAAAATTTTCCGTCCTGTTTCTCACGATTTCTCGTTTGGGACTTGGTAAGCTCCACACGAGTAAAAAACCCCATCCCAACAGTCCGGAAATATACTATTTCGATACTCGCTACAAGTGTTTTTAGACTTATGGAATTATATCACTCGAGTTCGACTCATATTTCTTCTCACGATTTCTCGTCTGACAGTTGGCATTGGATACTTCCCAACTCGAAAACTAGAAAATCACTACGGAAAACATCGTTCAGTCTATTGAGATGGGGTTTTTTTCACTTGTATGGTTGGCCAGTCCTCGCTTTCAGTTCCAACGCCAACTCCACACGAATAAAAATTATATTCCAGCAACCCAGAAATGAACTATCTCCGTAATCTTCTTGAAATTCACTATTTTCCATTATATTTCGCTAGAATCTGTTCTTAAGGACATCAAAGTACTTTAGCGATATTTTTTTCGGAAAAACGCTTTTCACCGTTTTTAGAATAGACCAAAAATGTTGCTTTGTGCGAGAAAAAAAAACCCTAGTTTCCGAAAATATTTTGGAGTTTCATTTTTTGAAAATTGAAATTTAACGCATGCTCCCTTCAATCCAATAAATCATTGTCTTAGGACATCTTCTCATATAGACAACCAGTATATGATTTTGTTCATTATACTTTCTAGTTTCTTTTTTGGAACATCGAAAAACATAAGTTTCCGGACAAAATCACCAACAGTCGAGTGGAGAATAAAATAAAAAAATTTTCACAATATCTGATCAGAAAAATTCCCAAAAAATCTATTTAACGATGAAAAATCCGAAAAAGTGTAGCAATGACAATATTTTGGGCTCACCAAAAATTTCATTCGAAAAAAAGTTGCTGCTTTGACCAAACTAGTTGGACATCCTTAATCTCTAGATAAACGAATGAATTAATGGACTCACAGTAACAGTCATGCAGTGACTCTCTCTGATGGCACCGCAGCATCCAAAGAATGCGATGACGAAGATAATACTGCCAATGACAATCAGTCCAATTGCGATCACTTCAATCTGATGAATCTGATCTGCAGTTTCAGCTTTCACTGAACCGAGATTAGTTTCTACGAGGACCCCGAGGATCAGCAGTGCAAGTCCACATAGCTAAACAATAAATTATTATTAAATTATTATTAATAAGTGAATTGGTGAATATAAATTCTGTTGTAGCAATCAAGAGGACGATATATCTAATTATAATT